TCTCTTGAGAAAAAACAAACGAAGTAACAACAGCAAAGAAAAAGAAGAAAAGAAATATAAGAAAAGAAAGAAGAAAAGAAAACAAGGAATAAACAAAAAGAAACAAGCAAAAAAATTAAAAAAAAAAATGAACAATTCCAGAAGCAGGACTCGAACTCAGAACTTTCATTTATGTAGAGGTTGTACCCCCCCGGAATACATAAGAAATAATGAAAATAAAAAAGCTAAAAAGATAGGACGATTCCCCCGAGACATTCTATGAAGCTGAGGCGGCGAATCGGCTTACGTTTCGGTTAGAGATTTCGGCTCTTCCACGCTATCCCGAGTGAACATAAAACTTAGTCTTAACCAAAAGGCCAGGGAGTGAGGGGGTAGCCGCCCACTAGAGCATACCTTTAGCTACCCTCTTAGACCATCGTACTATGAAGACACTTATCGATATAATATCTAATTGGGGTAGTCTATTCGGTGAAGTTCTATGCTAATATATGACGTCACCAAAATCTTTAGGGATCAGCGAGCCAATCAGAGCTCAGCTCGGGAATTAGATGCAGGCTTTGCATAATCATTCTTCAGGATCCAGTTTACATGTTATTTGATGGGGGTGGGGTGGGGTGGGTGCTGAGCGCTGGTTTGCGGCCGAATACCGATGTTCGATGACATGTGACGGCTTTCACCAAGCTGTCCAGTTGTCGTTATTGTTTTCCAAATTATAACAGGAAAATTAGGTGTACAGTTGTTATATCAGACAGAGATTACTAATATTTGGATAAACAACACCACACAAAATCTCTTGAAATTCTTAACGATTAGCAAAMGATTAGCCGGGATTCAACATAACACAACACTCGAACGTTCCACATCTTCGACTTCGTTCTTGGTAATATATAAGTTTTCCAATGGTTTTTCAATGTAGATAAAGTGAATGTTATCCGCATAAGATTAATAAAGAATCTTGAAGAATGGAAAAAAGTCAACAACCTTTGGCCCGGGTTTTATTGCAAAGCTATAATCAGGCGAATGATAATAATTTACATGGATGTAAAAATACAGTTTAGATATAATACAAACACTTTATCGAAGAAAAYGTTCGAGAATTTATCATTCGAGAGTTTATAAGTCAACAGATACAGAAAGATGTCTTTCGCTATAGCTAAATTAAAGATCTCCATGTCGTAGATAAAAATTCCTTTTCGAAATCTTTCAGATGTATATGTTCGCTGTATGTCAGGTCCCCACGGGAGGAATGATTAACGATCACAATATATAGGTTCCTTGGCCACTGGGAATCGCCGCCTGGCAACGAATGGTTGATTGACACTTGATACTTCCAGTTCCTTGTAGCATACACTGTATGCAGATAATYAAAACGTTGTATTCGAAGTTTACTAAATATCTGAATGGTCTGAGTCACATGCAGTCCTCGACTGCATATTTTTAACTTATTAAAATGTTGTCGTACGTAGGATTCATGTTGAAATACTAAGATAACATTTAACGTTATTTTAGATGGGAAATCATTGCGTATCGCTGTGGACTTGATAGTTATAACAATTGGTCGATTGGACGATGTTGAGATGGTATGTTTGAAGAAATTCTGTCCGCTATTATAAAGATGAATTATTTTGACTCCCRGACATATAATTTTTCGTGGCATTCTGTCCGGGAGTTCGTCCAGAGACGTGAAAAAACCTATTTTATTTGTCAATAAGCTGCAGAATGTCTTTGAAACTAAAGTATCTTATAAATCCATCTTAAATAGGACTATTCTCTGGAATTCTACATGCGTCAACGATGGAAAGACCCTTTACTAAGATACGACAACAAAACGCTGCCTGAAAACAGCACATATACTGTATTAGACCAAGAACTGATTAACCGATTGTGGAAACCAGACACMTACGTTGAAAACATGAAATCTCTTGAGATCAAGTCTTCCTCTGGTCCATTTATCAACCAGGGATTAAGGTTATTTCCTGATGGTACCGTTCTCGTTAGCTCAAGGTAGAAATCTTGGATTTATCGGACATTTTGGGATTCTATAATTTGTTGCTTCCGTAACTGAGATACCTCAAAGGAGTCTCCTTTTAATTGCGTTCAGTGGGGGGTGCTTTTGGAGAAAATTGTATCGGTTTCTTATGCATGTTTGACAAGATTTATTATTAATGATCATAATAATAATCTTTATTATTGAGAATTTAAATTTGCTAATGGTAAGCTATTTTGTTCCAAAAATGTTCTTCCACATAATTTGATCGCACTTGATCTGATGTGAATCAAAAACATTTGAAAAYCATAGACGAATTAAGAACTCCAATCCTCTGATTTGTTAACAGAATTAGTGCTACACTATCGTGTAGTATGGAGTTCCAAAGATTCCCAATGGACACACAAACGTGTCCTCTAACCTTATCAAGCTGTAAGTACTATATTTTACAATGGTATCTTCAATATTGAGCATCAAAGGTTTTAGCTAGAGAATGCCTTATGGCGTGACAATATGCGGTTCAACACGACCKCATCTATTTAACAAATAGACGCCAAAATGACGCCAAAATGTATTGAGAACAAAMATGTACGCACKMGACKSMGTCKMGTRCGTGACTGTTGTTCTCACTACATTTTGACGTCATCTGTGTATCTATTAGTCGTACACACACACGGAAAAATGAGATCTATCTAATTTATACAACAAACAATTAGTTTTGACGTAATCCGTGTATCTATACTTTGATAACACACGAAAGCYAACCAATCAAAACGTCTGATTTTACTGAAAAGTTGTATAAATACTACATAGATTTTTTCACGGAAGATGACCTATATTATGAATGGGGCGAAGTATACATCTACGAGAAAGTGAAAAACAACAATCAGTTTGACATCCTTGGYGTGGAGAATACAAGAAGTAGCCTGAAATTTTCTTCAGGTGAGTATATTCAACAAACTGCGAATGGTTTKKMGTTGTATGTCCTCTTATTGACACATYCTTGACGTCATAGAATGTTCAAAACTCAAGTGGAACCACGAGCGCAGCGCGTGCAACTTTTTTACCCCATTTAAGTCTCAAAGAAATAGCGAAAATCATATATTATTTTCTTTCAATTGAGCGCGCGAGACGTGATGGTGTCAGCACAGTGAGCATGTTTTCTGATTGACACATTCTTATCARCCAATGAGTGGTCGAGAATTTACACAGTTTGGTAAAAAAAACATATTTCATTTGTTGCGTCCATATTCAACCCTATCATTATATCAGTCATATCAATATTTTGAAAACAACTTCTCCACAGGTATCTACAGCTCACTAAGCGCAGTTTTCAAATTCCGACGCCGTGTCAAAAAGTTCATGCTTGGCTTCTACATCCCCTCAATCCTAACCGTCATGCTCTCGTGGGTGTCCTTCTATATAAGYCCGTTCTCCGCGCCTGCGCGTTGCGCACTTGGAATCATCACAGTGTTGGCTGTTGGAGGCTTTTTAACTGGACAAAGACGCTCTTTTCCTGTGGTGCCGTACGTCATGGCCGCTGACCTGTACATAATGGTTTGTTATGTATTTACGGCCCTGGCTTTAGTGGAATATGCCGCTGTTCACTATATGTTTGTGTATGACATGCAGCTGCAGCAGTTCAACACGAAAAAGCCGGTATACAATAATAACGTTCCATTTGCTTGTCTATCTTTAATTTTCTTCTCACCAGCTTTAAAACGATATCTTAGTCTCGGTAGATCCTTTCTTTCTGTAAAGCTTATATTATGCAAGCATTCACATGGCATTTTTCATTTTTCAATTCAATTTCAATTTTTTTATTTTTCACACATATTTTACAAGGAATATCATTAATCTATTAAAGATAATTATGGGGAATTACATGTTTGTTATAGGGGAAAGTGTGCAGTGGCTAAAGGAGCTTATAGCTTTCGAGTTAGCCACTGCCTATTGAAATTGAAGGGCTATTTCTCTTTCAGTCTCAAGCAAACAAAGACAAAGCCGCTGGGATAGYGATAGACGAAGGAGAGTACGAACCTGATGAACAAGAAAGCCAATCGTCATCTCACATGACAACTCGTCCTGAAAGAATGGAGATGTCGCAGCATTTTAGAAACCAAGTCGAAGATTCGACTTCTGCAGAAGACAGAAACAATTCTAGAAAGAAAATTGGTGTTTCCAAGTACATTCGAGCAATTCTAATGAGTCCATATATATTGTATAAAATTGTGAAGCGGGATGCGTTAATTATTGATCAGTTTTCGCGAGTCGCTTTTCCCGTAGCTTTTTCCTTGTTCAATGCAGCTTACTGGGTTTTCTATATGACGGGTCATAGCGATGCCATTTGAATAAAATTCGAGAGAAAAAAAAAACAACAACAACAAGTCTGTATTGAGACTAGCAACTAAACTGATTTCAGTACATATGCTTCCGCTATCACCAGTAATGGTTCATTTTGGATATATCCCGCAACAGGGGCCAAACCTTTTTTTCTTATTATTTTGAATAAATGTCCTCCCAATAGTGGTACTAACTTACGCTATTAAAAAAGGCTGCAAATAAAGATCTTTTAACTGTTCAAAATCTATTTTCTTAGTGTATTATATAATTATCTATTTTCTGTACATTTGCCCAAATGTTTGGGRTTCCTGTGGTGTTCATGTTGTCAGCGGCTACTACCAATAGAAGAAGATCAAAGATGGCGGCCAGAAAAGCATGCAAACATGCAGCAAAAATGGATGATTTCTTAAGACTTTACTAAAATATTCCCAGAATTGTTAATATAATTTAAAAAATATCTATCCTTATGGCCTATTCAAGGGGTATTAGGCTACCACCAATGCCTAAAGTGTCTGATTTRCTAAGATTGTATGGCCTYAGTGCGCAAAAACAGCTGAGTCAAAATTTCATTCTTGACCTTAATGTTACAGGTAAAATATTGTATAGTTTATGTAAAAAGTGGCAACACTACTTTATTTTCAGTTAATAATTAATAGCTGTAAAGTTTATATCTCTGAAATTGAGTACAGTTACTTCTAGGTTCACTTGAGCGCTTTTGACGTTTGAAACACGTGGGCATGCAGTTTACATGATGTAGAAGTTGTCGTATTAAGGGCCAAGTCATGGGAACTAAACGCTTAC